AAAATCCTCCCCGAAAGCATAAATGGGGATCCCCATGGGGAGAAAATTCTCTCGCGGGGATGGGTATGGGGAGTCAACACCCGATGGGGAATTCCCCATTGCCATCACTAACTGGCCTTCCTCAGACTCACAAGAAAAAGCAATTCTGTTTTGACAAAAGATGGTTGAAGAAACCTGGGATCAAGTAAGAGATACAATAGGCCTGAGGCCTGGGGTCAACCTGTTAATGGCTCAGCAATGTTCGCCCTCTCAGAGAAAATTAAAAATACCAGAGTTGCACTATTAAAATGGAGCAGGAACTTTCAAACTGACCCAGCCAAAGCTATTGTTAGACTCTCAGCTGAAATAGCAGGTTTAAGGGAACAAGGGGGAAACAGAAACTGGGATCAGTGGACTCACCTTAAGCAGCAACTTGATGAAGCTTACAAATCTGAGGAATCTTTTTGGAAGCATAAATCCAGGGCCCTTTGGCTCGAGGAGGGAGAGAAAAACACAAAGTTTTTCCATGTTTATACTCTTCAAAGAAGGAAGCTCAATTTAATTACCAAACTTGTCAAGGAGGATATACAATCTGTGAAACCAGGGACTCCATAGCAACTTGCCTCACAGACTACTACAACCATCTTTTCACTTCAGATGGCTCTCAGGATCTTGGCAATATTCTCAACTACATCCTTTGTTCAATCACTGCAGAGCTCAATGAATTTTTGAATTTCTAATTTATTGAAACTGAGATATGTAGTTTATTCAAACTGAATGAAAACTAAACAAAGATTGAAAAATCATACCCCCTTATTTCTTTCCTACTCCTCCTTAGTTAGAAGAAGAAATCAGAAATGCTCTATTCAATATGCATCCAGACAAAGCCCCAGGTTGGGATGGTATGCCTCCTTCCTTCTTTCAATCTTTTTAGAGCATTATAAAGCATGATCTGTGCAGAGTTGTTTTGTCCTTCTTCTCTTCTAATCACCTCCTTAAAAAAATGGAACCTAACTCTCTTAACCCTTATCCCCAAATGCTTTTCCCCAGTCACTGTTGGAGATTACAGACCAATTAGCCTTTGAGGTCATTTACAAAGTTATTTCAAAAATCCTTGCTGACAGGCTGAAACCTTGTCTCACTTTTGTATAAGCCACACCCAATCAGCCTTTATACCTGACATACAACTTGACAATGTCATTATAGCCCGTGAAGTCTTTCACCATCTAAACAGACACAGAACTGGCCCCAACAGATACATGGCGCTAAAGCTTGACATGTCAAAGGCTTTTGACAGAATTGAATGGGCTTGTATTAATAAGATCATGGAAAAAATGGGTTTTCACCTAAATTTCATAAAATGGATTATGGCATGTGTGCAATCCACTACTTTCTTTTTCAAACTGGATGTGCCTACTAGAGGAATAAGACAAGGGGATCCTATATCCCCTTGCTTATGCCTCATAGTTTCTTAATGTCTGTCCTGCTTAGTCCAGCATGAAATTGACCATGGTTCCTTTATTGGCCTGAAACTCTCAAGACAGGACCACAGCCACCTATTTTTTTTGCTGATGACTCACTCATCTTCTGCCAAGCTTCCCTAAATTCAGCTAATCTCATATTGGACATGCTGGAGAAATACAAAGTGCTTTACAGGGTAACAAGTGAACATGATAAAATCTTCAATGTTTTTTAGCAAAAATACACCTCCAGCAGTTTAAAGGGACATTTTCCAGGCTCTCTAAGGCATCAAAATGCACCACTCCTCTAGATACCTTGGCTTGCCACTGGGCATTGGAAGATCAAAGGGTGAAGCATTTAATTATGTGACTGAAGCTGTCAAGAAGAAACTATTGAATTGGAAGAACAAATTCCTTTCAGGAACAGGAAAGGAAGTCCTCATCAACTCCGTACTCAGTGCCCTCCCTGTTTTTTCCATGTCATGCTTCTTGCTGCCTCTGGGACTCTGTAAAGATTTGGCCAAGCTCTTTGCAAACTTCTGGTGGTCCTCACAGAACAGGTCTACCTCTGGCATCCATTGGAAGGCTTTGTCCCTTCTCACTCTGCCTAAAGCAGCTGGAGGATTAAACTTTCATGACCTCCATGTATTCAATGAGGCTCTTATCTTGAAGCAAATCTGGAGATTGATCACCAAGTCAGACCTGCTAATGAGCAAAGTTCTAAGATACATGTACTTCCCTTCTGGTGATTTTTTTAGAGCCAAACCTACTCAAAATGTCTTCTGGCTATGGAGGAATTGGCTAAAGCTACAGAAAGCTTTCCTGCAAGGATTCTCTGCAAGGATTCTCTCTCCTGGAATAGAGAACTCATCAACAATCTGTTTCCACCTTCTATACAGGATGCCATCTCCCACATCAAGCTGGATGCCCATCTCCATGACAAACCATGCTGGTCCTTTGATCCAAAAAAGCACTTCTCTGTAGCTGCCACATATGCTCACCTCATCTCTGCAAAAATCCTGCAGCTGGATCTTCCAGAGAATAGCACCATGGCTGACAACCTTAGGAAGATGAGAACCAGAACCTGGAAGTTGAAGATTAAGGGTAAAGTGAAACATTTCAATTGGAAATGTTTTACTGGAGTCTTACCTGTGACCACTAACCTAAGCATAAGATGTCTCACTATGGATACTACATGCATGGTATGTGGTGAAGCTCCTGAAACTATAGCTCATGTTCCGTTTCAACACCCAAGAGTTGTGAAGGTTTGGTGTCTCTCTCCTGTCAAATGGGATGGCCCTGCTCTGTTTGATGGCCATTTTAAGCATTGGTGGTCCACTCTTTGCATGATCAAAAAAGAGAAAGCAGTAGATGATAGGTTGCAGCTCTCCACATACATTCTATGGCAACTATGGAAAACCAGGAGCCTTTGGGTTTTTCAGCAAATCAAGACCCCGGAGCACATTGTTATTAGCATTGTTGTTCAAGAGTGGCTGGAATATAGTTTGGCTTCTGCAGCTTACTCTGCTTTATTTGCTTAGGTTTTTTCTTATGTTTCTGTCTGTTTTCCTTTTCAGTTTTACTAGCTAAGCCCCGGCAGTGGCTAGTTCTCTTGGTGTTTCATTTTTAGACTAGCTGTTTTCATGTAACTAGTAATAGATCTCCGTTCATCTTTGCTGCTATTACCATGTAGAAGTTTATTGTATTTCTTTGGTTTCTAGGCAGGTTTAGCCTCTAATCCTTTATGTATTGTAATCCTTCGTGATCCCGTGTACGAACATTTATATTTATGAGATTATTTACTATCGTTTCGAAAAAAAAAAAAAAGAATAGCTCAGTCGAATAACAATTCTAGGGTTGATTCATATTTTTTTAGAGGATTAATCTACAAAACCTTCTTCTTTTTTTTTTTTTTTTTTTTTTTTTTTTTTTTTTTGTTGAATGGTTACTATCATAACTCATTTTTGGTTTAGTATTTAAAAAAAAAATGTTTGACTTTATTGATATTAGTTGTTATGTAAAATTCACGAACACGAAATCATGCAAACATAATAAAACTACAAGTCTATAAAAATCATAATAAGTTTCAAAAAGTTGATGAAAGATTTAAAAAGTTTTAGTAAGAATTCTCTAAAAGTCCCAAAATGTCCACAAAAGTCATGATAGTTTTACAAAGTCCACCAGTTTTTAAAGTCATTAAGAATCACAATTGATACAACTCCATCTTGAGTTGAAAAAGATTATAAATTTAGCAATCTAAAATTGGGGCATCATCAATTGGGATATTTTCAACTTTGATCACGATGAATGCTTTTTGGTAACGTTTCATCTCCAACCCAAGAATCCAGGATAAAACTTTGATGTAATTGGCAAGGACTAATCCATGTTCCATGAAGTTAATATATGTTGATCAAATCTTAATTTTTTTAATGAAATAGCAAACTAAACATAAAATAAGCAGGTGACTGAAAAAAGACTCCATTAAACATCTACACACACAGTATATACCTTCTCAATAATCTATTTGTGCATTATGACAAATTTTCATTTTACAAGTATGGTTGATCAAAGATATATAAGCAAGCTTGGGGCAAGTTGGAACACATACCACACATGTTCGAGGAGGAGAAAGTACTTTCAAGGAATTGGGACGGTTGTTAAAATTTGTTTCGGGGACGCCTGGTACACCTTCAGGGGTTGTGAAATGGTCCACATCGTGCCCCACCTGTCAACAAACACTAAGAAAATTGTGAAGGTAACTCTCTTGTTTCAACCCGCTTTTTGGTGCAAAGCTCTAACCAAATTTCACATTTATAAGCTCTATAGATATTTGACTGGAGAAGAGAGAAAACTTTTAGTTTAATTAACGCCACCAATATCTGTACTATAAGTTATGCACTCAGTTTTGGTGAGCTTCGGAAAATTTACCGCCCAGAGAGAAATTTCGCAGAGAAGTCAATTTACAAGTCTATATTTTACGTCACAACTGTTCTTACTCTTCCATGTCCACCAAATCCCCAAGCATCACTGTCCAGAGCAACTCTATATTTTCCCGGCAAGTCACAGCCAATTTTATACCTGTAGATGAATGCGTATGAAAAAATCTTTCAACAGTTGAAAGAAAATCAAGTTATACATCCACAAAGACATAAAGGAAAGATCTCAAGTTTCACAAGAAGGACATACCCTTCATATGTATTCTCCGGGTGGAGGTTAAACACAAATACTAGATCTCCGCGTTCAAAAACAATGACCTATAATTACAATCACCAAAAGCAGATAGTTATTGAACTACAAAGCATCAAGGGTTCATTTTAAATAGAACAACATTACTCAAAGAAGGAGAATAAATATGAAATGTCTATGTTGCATCACAAGCCCATTCAGCAGCAATGTCAATACTGTATCCTCAAAAGCTCTATAATTTAGTAATTAGAACCGAGCATCATAGCATCTGTTTGAGTATATCTGAGCATAGCACTTAGTTTCTATTTGCTTATATTTTTCCAGTTTGAGCAGTCAGCTTTCAGTACGAGCAGTACAGGTGGGGACCCAGTTTAAAGAAAACTAGTTTTCAGTATAAGTTTTATAGTAGCATCCTGATTAAGTTAAAAGATTTCGAAAAATTTCTAAGTGTTTTCAAAATTATATTTGCGAAAATTAACTCTGATACTAGTAAGATAGCGGGGTGTTACAGTTCTAAACTATCCATTTACCTTGTTATCTTCATCAATGCAGCTTACAATTTGTTTGGATGATGCAAGGAACTTAAATTTTTCATCAAGCAAATTCATGGCTCTATCAAAAGCATTCAGAAACTGCATTTACAATCCAGAAAAGATGTTGGGTTAAGATGCAAATAGTGAAAGAAAATACAAAGAGCAATACAGACAAGAAATATAGTAAAAGAAAACTTTTCTTCCGCTCACGCTTTTGTGAAGAATATATTGTGCTTCATAACACATTATATATATGCTGGTAAGTTTTAGGGACAATACTAGAATGGACCTTGAATCTTAGATGATCTGTATCCACAAGGTCCCATTGCCGTCTGCACTTATCGTAACTCCAACCATTGCCTTCTCTAGGGAAGTCTATCCAATCTGGATGTCCAAACTGCAATAAAGAATTGATCAAAGAAACATTTTAATTTTGTTAAGAAACTGGGAAAGAAGTAGCTGTAACTTTCAGGATCAGAAACTAAGTCATTCCATAGTGAATGAAACAAAATCCTACGTACAATTCCCAAGACGACTAAACCGAGAAATTTCAAGAAATAGATATAAGAAAGTATAAATACTTTGTTTGAGATATAACTCTGCTATTTTATGCACAACTAATACAGCTATTCATACAACAGATAAATCATTTACAAGAGGTGTTTCTCAACTTATGGCAGCTTACCTCATTCCCCATGAAATTCAGGTAACCTTCTCCTCCTAATGCCATTGTTAAGAAATGGATAATCTGCAGATAAGAATTAATATTTTCATATTCAAACAAAACATAATCTTCAATATTTAATGAATTCAAAATTAGTGGAATAAAACCTTATGAAGTGCAATTCCACGCTCAATAACTGGAGAGGCCTCGGTCAGACATGACATACCGGAATACATTTCTTTGTCCATAAGGGAAAATGCAATCGTTTTGTCACCCACAATGGCCTGACCAAGGCACAAAGAACAGAAAACTACGTAACCAAAAAATTACAGCAAGAGATGAAAATGATTTGAAAGAATCCAACAGACACACTTACACCCCAATCATATAAAGGAGAATAATAACAATATCCAAGATTTCAGATTTTCTGTGAGCAGTTTTGAGATACAAAATGGCAAAAACAAAAAACGGAGTGATGATAAAAATATTCTTTTTATTTTTCATCATTTTGAAAAAGTTGAGATTCTCTAGGTTAGGACATAGCTTAGGCTCGAGATTAAGTTGTACAAGTACCTGATCATGACTCTCCGCATAAGCCACACACTTTTCAGTGTACCTCCTATTAGTCAAAGTCCATGTGAGCTCATTCATCGACCAATCTTCATCCTCCTTATTTTTTAGATAGTCGATCCACTTGTCGGGAACAGCCATCGCCAGACGGTAGTCGAAACCAATCCCACCCTCTGACACGGACCTGCCCAGCCCGGGCATGCCCGAGACGTCCTCAGCAATGACAGTCGCATCAGGCAAGACACTATGTATCAAATTATTAGCCAACATCAAGTAAACCACGGCATCAACATCCGTGTCCTCACTAAAGTACTCGCTATAATTCCCACTAAATCCCATGTTGATCCCATGATGATGGTACAGCATCGAGGTCACCCCATCGAATCGGAATCCATCAAACTTAAACTCGTCCAGCCACCACCTCAGATTGGATAGCAGGAAGCGGAGGACTTCCCAGTTCCCATAGTTAAATAATCTGCTGTCCCACAATTCGTGATAGCCTCGTTTTCCAGTGTGAAAGTAGGAGTCTTGAGGTCCTTGACCGACGTCAAAACCGTTGAGGCCATCAGTTATATTGTTGCTCGCATGGCTGTGGACGACATCCATCAGGACCCGAAGGCCCAGGCCATGGGCCTTGTCAATGAGGTACTTAAGGTCCTCTGGAGTTCCGGACCGACTGCTCACGGCAAAAAAGTTGGTGACATGATATCCGAACGAACCGTAGTAGGAGTGCTCCATTACAGCCATCAGCTGGACCGTGTTGTAGTTGTTGGCTCGAATGCGGGGCAAAATGCTATCGGCGAACTCTCTATATGTGTTCACCCGAGGCTCGGAGCTACTCATGCCGACATGCGCTTCGTATATCCGTGGGGAGTCAGGTTTGGGTGGACGAGGGTGTTTGAACTGGTACCTGCAAGGATAACGAATGAGATTTTCTATTGGTGCGTAATAAAGAATAATGTCCAGTGCAATTGAGGTTTGATCTAAACACATGCACGCACACATACGAAAGGATAAAGGGAAGAAAGAAGAAAAATAGGACTTTAAAAAAATATATAAAATTGAACCTTAGATTGAATTCAATGTAAATAAGGGGCTAAATATGAGAACTTCATTTATGTAAAAAGGGGGTTGTCAAATTACTCTGTGCTTATGATGGGGGTATCCCAGAGGGTTTTGTTACTGTAAATGTTAATTGGGTTCCTTTTACAATCACAAAACTAGATGGCACTTTACATAATTAATTCTTACTTTTTTAGTTTCTCAAATTTAATCAAGAACTTTTTCTCATGTAGTGATGACTTTGAGCCGGTAAAAAACTTGATAGACCAATTTTAAAAGAGCAGGCATACATCAACTTAATAACCAGTAATCTGCAGCTGAATAACAGGTTTGATTTACACTTTAGCCACTGCTGCAGTACCTCTCGGATGGTGGGGAGTCACAATAAATGCCATCATAAGGTGCAGCAAATGTAGTAGGATCCTGAGTCGCGTATTTTATCCAAGCAGGGATCCGGTCAACCCAAACTCCACCACCATGCTTAAATCTGAACTTGACTCGGGATTTGTGCGGGATGGCAGGATTCCCACCAACATCGGGAATTCTGATACTCCATACACCAAACTGATTTTTTGTCATCTTGTGTCCAGAGCCATTCCACCCATTAAAATCACCTATTATTTCTGCTTCTCTGAGGTACAGGCAAATTAAATGTGAGGATATCATGACAAGCGAAGAACAGTCCAAAAGTTAAGACAATACTTGTGATAACCAGTTTGCTGAAAACAGAAACTCAATAATGACATATATGAAATGTTTAACAGTCATAGAAAAGGAGTACACAGTCACAGGAAAAGAGTACATAACTCACTTGCAGAGGACAATCAATAACTAATGAAACCCACTGAAAACTTAAAATGACCAAAGCAAGCTTTAGCGTGATAATAGTTTTCACATATAGGCACAATCAACCAAATGAACTTGGTGAAAGAGATAGTGCTGCTTCAAAATGCAGCCATGTTTTAGTTCATTGTCAACCTGTCCATGAACAGTTAAATACAAATTATTGGTACGAAATGCCATAATATATGCCTGTAGCTATTCGAAATCTACTTAAAATGATTTTAAGTCTCTTCAAGAATAATGTTGAAATATTGTTTTTGTTTGATAATGTGTGTTAAAAGAAGAGATTGTTTGGCTTGGATAGTTTGATAATTTGTGTAATAACGGAGAGATTGTTTGGCTTGGATAGTTGGATTATATCAAGTAGTTTAGACTGACTTATGAACATAAACATATTCTTCTACTGAATAAGGTTGTTGTAAAAAAGTACCTTCTTAGTTACTTCTTCTTAGCAAGCAAAAGTGCTTAAGGCATGAGTGTCATTTCATGAGAAGACTGCTAGGACCACACATCCACTCAAAAA